AAACATGGGGCTATTACAATGGGTCCGTCCGTCCATCTGTTCGTCTAATAGTCTTTCTTTTGGGGACAAAATAACTCTGCTCGAGTTAAGGCGTGTGATAATCAATTGGATTGGTCGCGCCTTTAGAGCACGATAACTTTTAAGTGGCATATGTGGTGTATTTTTTCATCACATCAATACTTTGACTAATTTCGATGATCAGCAGTTTCTGCGTAGGCAGAGTAGCGATGAGCATTTGAATTGTTCATGACTTTGGAACATAATAATTCTGGTTTTAATTGAGGCAGAATGTTTAGACTTGGTGTTGTTGATGTTCATTAGTTGATACGATAAGTAACTGTTCTGCTTTGGCCATTTTTGTTGCTCGATAAGTGTGCAATTAATTGGAATGTGTCATCTATTTATTTTGGGATTCAGGCGGTGAACATCACCCGCACTGTTGGCTTTGGTGGCTTGTCAAAAATGTCGTTTTGACTAAATGTAGTTTGATGTAGCAGATTGCTTTTTAAGTTTTCAAAAACGAACGAGTATTTCAAATTCAATAAACAGCATGTTAGAATTCACGCCATTATGAAATGGCTCTACCAAAAATAAATAAAATAAGGACACCCTTATTCTTAACCACGGTGTTTACGAATAAAAATTATTTCCTAAATACTGTATTTACGACTACTAACCCTAACCTATTACCTCGTAGATGCAGCAGAATATAATATGATATCGGATTAACCTAACCCAAACCATGAGCTATCTTTATTAGGATAAACCTATCCGTGTGGGTATATTAAAGCGACTGAACTAAAGCAATATTAATGACATTAATTTGTAACATTAAATTGATCATCGATGTTACCATTCGTCAGTCGGAGATGAGTTTATTTGCTTGGTAAACAAATGATCAACCATTTTACCATCACCTATTCTATAGAAACTCCTCTTAACCGTTCAATTGTAATAATAACTGTCTGAGTGTGACATTGATCATTTAATGTTTTACTGGAACTCATCCATTTATTAGCTTGTGGGAAATGCGGCATAGTTCGCAAGCCAATTGAAACAATCTAGAGGCATAAAAAAGTTCATACAAACCTGTATTAACCTTTATATCTTTAAAAAAAAATATTTTCATTTGCATGACTGAAGAAATGTTCATTTTTATCTCTTAGATCGTTTACACAGATAACACGACAAAAGAAAGCAGTATAGGGACATAAAAGAGATCTTTAGAATTAAACGCCTAGTTAGAAACAGCATCCTGTTTGAGAATTAACGCTAAGATCTTCGTTGCGGATGTGTTTATAGCAAGAGAATGGTCGATAGGACAATATATAATGCGTAAGAGAAAAGATGTTTTGGAATATAGAATGCTAGAATTATTCAGCTGCGAAGATACGGTCAAGTGGTGTTTACCATATTAAAGTAATGGACTCACTCGAAATATTTTCCGAATTCAGATGACAATATATTATTAACTTAAGAGCTGACATTTTCAAACTTTGTCATTTGAAAGGCAAAATGAAATGAAATGAAACGGGTATAACGTCCTACTGTTCTGCTCCGACTGGGCTAAAGAAGACGGGCATACGCCATACAGTGTACTATGAGGGAAATTTTGCCCGAACAAAGGCGCTACGAATTACTCTTATATCGAATTCCTACTGTCAAGGGATCTTTTATGTGCACGCGTTTGTGGACATAGGGCCTCGGTTTTTAGTGCCACCTGAACGACTAGACAGCTGTTCTTGTCAGGCCCTCCGTCCTTCCAGGCTAGCCAGCCAACGTCTTACTCACGTAGCCACCATGGCTTCCATTTAAAAGGCAGGAAATGGGCTAAACGCAACAGATTGGCACATTATCCGGTTAAGTTAATCGGGGCTGTAATGAAATAAAATGAGGTTGACGTTCTACTGTTCTACAGTGTACGGCTTACTCTTATATCGAATTCCAACTCCTAAGGGGTCTTTTACGCGAACGCCAATGTGTTGCCCCTGGCCAGACCCTCTGTCCTGCACAACTTGCAATGGTAAACTGCGCCATTTTCACGGCCAACACTGGGATCGAACACGGGACCCCCAGGCTAGCGAGCCAACGTCTTTACTCACTCAGCCACCGCGTCTCCCCACAGAAGTTACAGATATACCAACTACATCCTACTACTTATACAATACCCGTCCAATCGTGTAGCTAACTTAGAAACAAAAATGTCAAAAGGAAAACTAACAACAAAAATGTTCCCCAGTACGAAACCCCTAATCCATTAGATTCTTTCAAAATTTGTTATTAAAACAAATTATATCTTTGTACTTTAAGAACATGATAATACCCTAATTTTACTTGCAAGTTTTCATGTATTTTTTTTTTTAGAAGACGGTCAAAAGGATAGATAGGCTTGTCAATCTTTTTTTCATCAACATTACAATTTGATACGATTTCATCAACGGTATAGCAATTATTTTTTTCAAGAATCGTTATTTCATTTCCTCAATATTTTATTTTAAGCCCGTATACATGTACCTTAGAATCTTCTATTATTGTTCAGAAAAAAAATAAGTGACAGGTTTGGGATCGCGCGTGCACTCGTCACAGGCGATTTCAATCATGAGTATAATTTCTTAATCAATACATTTGGTTATCTTTAAATCACGATCACGGAAGAGTTTATCGTGACTTGTAAATTATTGATATGGAATGCAATTACATAACTGCACCTAAATTACTTTATACTAATTAAATGCATCGATCACTTCTAAAACAATTCTATAGTACTTAAACTGTGTCGAGTCTTACGCTGCTTGTACACGGGTCTGGTTACAATGCTAACTGTCGTATGTTTGGGAATTGTTTATGAAGTATATATTTTCTAACGATCTATGTCGTATTATTAATTCTACAGTAAATTTCAGTAGATTTCAGTGTTTCAGTATTTCAGTAGATTAAACACTGCCCTCGGAGGGCCCCATTATATGCCGGTTGCGCCGGTCTCCTGATTCTTACCAGTAACGCTGGCATCAGGGTGGTACGAATTAGTGGAAGGCACGACTAGGCCAACTCCTCCCTAGGTAACAAAAATCGCATCATAAAATAGCAAGTATCATCAAAAGCGAGTTAATAAATCTCTGAATAGTTCGAGTTGAAGTTCCAGGTTTAACCGCTATGTGTCCTAATCACCAAACGAAATGGATGCCACGCAAATTTCGCACAGGCTGTAATCTGAAAAGTGTCTATCCTTTCCAAGAGCTATCCATCTCATTCCAGGGTCAAATATAATCACTTGAACCATAATAATATTCAACATATTCCATCATATTCCGAGGGCGACACAAAGGATTTTTTTCTGGATTACTTTTCGAGCTTTTTTCCCCAACTTGTTGACCAGTTTTCCTTGAGAAAACTCCAACTTTCGCCCAATTGTCCATGAGAAAACTACATATTCTATCTTACTGCATTGACGGGAAGTGGTAAGCTGGACGTCTGTGAAAAGGGTTGATCGATAAATTTTCAAGGAAGCAATTGTTGTTTTTGTTTGTGAAATAGAGGACTCTAGCCGATGAGGCTACTTCCCACCCGAGAACCTCAGGCAACGAATTTGTTTTATGTACTGCTATCGTAATAAAACATTACTATGTTAACCACTTCCTGGTGGCTGAAGATTTACACCGAATACGTATTCGGAAAAAAAGTCCCCGAGAAAATGTTTTTTCAGACAATCGATATTCGAGATGTCTTCTGGTGCACAAATTGTGCTGCACTGTGTAAGAACTTGCATCTTTTGATCTGAAGATTGTAGATGGAAAAGTATCATTTGCACTATTTAAAAGTAAACCTGCATTTTAGTATATCATCCCGTAATTTGTGATTAATGACAATGACTGTGGAAATAATATGGGTTGAGGAACGGAAGATCTATGTTCGTCACGTGACTGGACAATTCCACCCCCGTCCCACCCTGACGATGATCCCTCCCGGAGCGGCGCGGCGCGGCGCGCTCTCTAAAAAAATCTCGTCAAAAAAATTTTGGAGAAAAAAAAAACGGAAATTTCTTTTTTTATTGGGCGGGGCTATTTGTAAAACGAACATCGTAATGGCCTTGACTTTCCTTTATCGGCGCTCACTTGGTCCAAAACCGCACACAGAGGACCAGGCTCCGGGTTACCTATTTAGGGTGTTTTCCGGTATTTAGGGTGTTTTCCGATATTTAGTGTTTTTCCGGTGTTTTCCGGCATTCAGTATAAAATGTTGTTTTCCGGTGTTTTCCGGTTGTTTTCCGGTGTTTTCCGGTATATAGTATTGCCGAAGAGATAGTGTCTCCGTACCCATAACTGGAAACCGAAGAAACGTCGCTTTTCATATTGAAGTATGTTTCATGTGAAGGGAATTCTAAAGTCAAGATAATCTTATTTGTTAACAAAGTGGACAGGCCCAAAGTTCAGTGTTCAGACAAACAAAAAAAACCAGTATGTTATGTCATCAATTAAATTTGACTTAAACATAAAAAAAAAATTCGGGAGAAATACATAACTGCAAGTTTTATCAGATCCTCGTGTCCTTAAATAAAACATTTTATCCTTGACAACCAGATATTTCCATTGCTTGAACCAACCAATCCTTTTTAGGGGGTCGGCGTAGAATTCTTTCTTGTATACCCCTTCTTTTCGAGATCCTCGAACAGCCAACATTCCACCCAATTCTATAACTTTTCATAACGGTAATTTAGGGGTAGAATACATGCATTCGTTGTACATTGTATATAAATGTTAATTTGAATTGGGGATACTTAGCCATTTATCTTGAGTGAACGACATTATTTGCGAGTTTGCATTATACAGAGGTCGTGTTGATCTGCTGTAATTGGGTACCGGTAGGTACCCACACCGGGTCTTTGATGGATAACTAAAACAAAGGACCAAAAATGACTCTCGAAGGTAGGCAATAACAGCTGTGTGTATCTTAACCGGGCTTTGATATGTATAAAGTTAAAGAAAGAGTTACCAACACACGCACACAAACAAATATTTAATTCCTTAATATATTCTACAATCAATCTTACTGTCTTTGTTTTATGTTTTCAAAATTGTGTCCATAATTTACTGAAACTATGACTTAGTGAAAATGCAAAGTTCTATGAATTCAAATAAAATACTGTATGTTAGAATATTTTGAATTAAACCTTCTAGCATATTATAAGGAGTGATCGCTGTGGATAATTTTCATAAATTTTTTATAACGGTCCATTTGCCTAAACATAAAGACGGGTAACGTGCATCACAGAGAACAATCAATACTGTTTCTCGGGTATTTGATCGGTTTTTGTTCGATCTTATGTATTAACAATCCCTATTATTACATTCACTGTCCTTATTCTAATTTGCCGATTTTTTTACATTCGACATGTAGTTTGACTAAAGTTTATAATCGATTTTGTTCGCTTTGTCCGCACCACACAGAAACGAAATAAAAAGTTCGTTATTGTGACTTTAAGCACGTTAACAGCAACGGTGTACCGTTAACAGCAACCAAAGTCACTTGGAAAACAGTTAGAGTAGGTGGCCGTGTATGTCAAGCTTTCTGATTCTGTGTCGCTGCCGCGCTCCTGTACCATCATCAAAATTCCAGGATCACGCCTTTATCGGGTTGTATAGGATTTATGTTTATTGTATGCACCCGGCTACCAGGGGATCCATCGGCATAAAATCATAAATATATTATAGTTAGTTTCACGAAGTTTTATCTGGTTTTGTCATGGGCATGATGACTAAAAGATAAATAGTAGACATAGACGTCCCCAACACGAAAATCCAAAACATACACCGATCAACAACAATACCTACTTCCTGCCATTGTTTACAAAGATAATCATTTTTATCTCGGTCATTTTCACGACACATCATTTCATGAACTTTACACAATAGTTCATTAAGTTCACGATTCTCACCGCGATCATCACGTCGCTTGTTGGCGCGCTCCAGATTACGGCCATTGTTGGGTTCGCCATTTTCAAAATCTATCAAACCACAACCCGAATCGTGTGAAATGTTGTTGGAATTTCCTTTATAGAACATTTGGCTATTTCTCTTGCTTGCACACTGAATAATTTGACCGTCACAAACTGCCCGATTAACAAATCTAAGTTTTATGCAGCACACTTTGGAGAGAAGGATAACCACTGCTCTTATAAATGGCGGTAATGCCTTTTCGCGGTGACCACTATTACTGATGTTAGATACGACGACTGCTAAAATGACTGACATAGAAGTTAATGCCATAATTGTCGTCAAATAGATTCCTGAAAGATAAATATTTCAAACTATTAAGTTAAAATGTGAAATGAAATTGTTTAGGACTAAGATTACCGCCACAAAACCGGGGGTGGGGATTTATTCTCAGGTACGGCGATTTTTAGTACAATATTTACGACATGATCGATTTTTCCTGAGTTGTTAGTTTTTTAAGGATTATAATGACCTTTTCTGGTGCGGTCATTCGGCAATTACTATTAACCTAAATCTTCCCGGAATAAACAAACGTGCAGGTTTACATCCACTTAACACAAACTAGGTCATTTCGAGACTAACGTTGTACGTTTTTAAAATGTCATTTGTATTATTTCTTGCAGAGGTCCATAGCAGTTGGGCGGTTGATTACGGAGAAAAGTCACGAGTTGGGCAGTCGGCTCTAGTTCATAATACACCGAACTCTTAAGACTGTGAAAGGGAATGGCAACGTACAACATGCTAGGTATATTGTCTATGCATTTATAGTTAATTAAACGAATCAGTTCAAGTGAAATTGATGGATGTTCTAGCTGGTTACGTCTTATAATGAAGAGTGTGATAACCATATGGATTATATGGCTTGTTTACGAGCTTACTGATATCTATTGGAAGTTTTATCTGGCCATATTTCTTACCTATTAATGGGACGAAACTTGATGTAGCTGGCATGTTTTCAGCTATTAGAAGCATAAAGACCGAGAAGGCTAATAAAACTGTCAGACCCAAGGTAACCTTCTCACCACTGTCAGGACTCATCCAGAATACCAATAATGTCAACACCGACAGCATTATACACGGCACAATAACATTATACATGTAGTACAGAGTTCGGCGACGCAGATGAATCGAAAATGTCACGTCTGGGAAAGGCTCTGGACAGCAAGGATATTTGACAACATGTCGTTCAGCTTTCACGCTCAGTAAATCCCATTCGCCGTTACTAACAAAGTTGGACAGATCTATCGGATTTGAGCGGTTGAAGACATCCACTTGAAAACCATCATATGCCCAGGAGCCGAACTTCATATGGCAAAGCTGATCATCAAAAGGAAAGTAGGTAATGTCGATGTGACAGGTGCTGCGAAATTTAACAATAGGTGGCCAGAATACTTTTCCTTTATAGGACACCATGGCTAAGGCTTGCATATAACCATTGGTATAGTCTTCAGCGCTGAAATAAAGATACTAAGTGCATACGGTTAGCTGAGTAATTATCTATTTTAACGGTTAATAACGAATACCCATGTGATTTGATTAACATGTGGAAAATTAACTAATTAACACGTCATGGTCTTTATAATACACAGAGGACTGGTTACTAATATGGCATGGGATACTTATTTGATTTATGTAGAGTTTTATGTCCTTGACTAACTAATATGCGTAAATATACATGTTTTTCTTAATACTCAGCAACCGGGTTGTTAAATACGGTACAGATGCTGGGAAACTGTAATTTAAAATGTAATTAATGTAAGATAACATTATAATTAAAGATACTTCCGCGCGTACAGACTGTGTAAATTGATGATATATTTGGACTAAAACATATTCAAACTAATCAAAAGTTTGCTTCAAATCCCTCTCAACAAAACGGTTGTTAGACGCCATGTCTGTCACCTCAATTCGTTGAGAGAGGGTCCATTTTTCAGGATGTATTTTGCATTACTTACTGTCCATTTATAGTATATATTGAGGCCTTAGTAAATTCTTAATTATTTTCTGCCAACTTCTTTTTCCGCCGTTTAATTGCAGAGTCTTTTGTACTTGACACCCTCAATGTTTTCAAAACCGATTAACTATATATTTGATCAAGAAATAACAACCGCTGCCTCAGTAAATCTAGCATACAATAAGCTTGTAGACAAGAGTCTGGTTGCCAGTTATTGATACTTTGACAAATTTGCCCAGTGCTTGCCCCATGGGTGTTTATCGGTTAATCCAGTATGTTTCTGGTAAGATTGTGTGTCTATACTTTCCATATATACCAAATTTGCCATACTTCTACCGGACATAACCATCCAATAAATACTTTCAGGACAATGTATCTTTAAAGTAAAAATACTGTTATTAATTCAGAACACTAGTCATGTTCAGTATGTGCATAGAGTACAGACATACTGTATTATCCACAGCTTACGCTACAAGATAGTTTAATACCTATATGAAATCATTCCCCAAAGATAAAATGATATTAGGTGTTCTAGAAAGCGTAAGCATGCTCTGTCTCGTACACAACCTCCATCACTACTTATAGCTAAATAGTCATACCCCCGTGCGATGGACACCCAATAGAGTAACCGAACAGTAGAACACGCATGAATCAAACAACAATTAGTATGCCATGCAGTGCGCTATGAGGAAACCTTTGCCCGGATAACGGTGCTACTGTCTTCTCTTATTTCGAATTCCAACTGTCCGAACAACTAGACATTGTTCCTTACCAGGCCTTCCGTCACGCAACACTGACCAGGGGAACCCATGCCGTAAAATCCCCCGGAACTCCCTCGGCCAGCACCGGGCGCGAAACTCGGACCTTCTGGTTTTCGAGTCAGTGCATTACTCAATGAGTCACTGCGGCTCCACCAATAAAAGAGATCTAGATAGTATGTTGTTATACCTATTATATAAAATAATATCTGGTTTCCAGATTGTATGACATGGTACTCTTAACATTTTTAAGCCATTAAAATCATCAGGGTTCCATTTTAATTTCTCATCCCACCATTCCTGTAAAACAAATTTTATACAAGGGCTACATTTAAGTAATTGTGCAAATTTTTTGCATATTAAGTAAGAAAGCTCGGGGGATTCGTAATCATTAATGGTGACCGGAATAGGGTATAAAATGAACCAACAGCTAAATCACCTGTATCCAGTCTGAGCATTTCGCAGTGAATGTTCGCGATATATACAAGTTTCAATGCTAATAAGTGTAACAATACACATTTTATATTTCGATAATATGCCTGCAGAATTTTGTACTCAAAACCTCTCTAAAGGATGTTCTTATTATGTCAATCATCCTAAAAAAAACACTAGTTAATGACAACTTTAAGAATGACAGAGTTACCTCTCCTATACACGGCACTTCTATAGTTTTATATGATCGATTATTTCCATTTGTATAAATTCAGGGTAGTTAGTTGCTTGAGATTGATGGATGGACCGACGTCAGAATGACCAAATAGGATTCAGTATATTATTTTAAAACTCGGAGGAACATATTACATATCCCCATTTACGCTCCAAATATAATGGATTTCTCTGGGAATGATTCTTATAAAACTTCAGAGATGAAAAATAATGAAAAATGACTTAAGAAGACTTTCAGGATGAGCAAAAACTATTTCTGAATAAAGCAAACGTGGAGATATTTGTCCCTGAGGTGCTGTTATACAAGATGAAATCCACACATAACCTTAATGTTTAATATCAGATTAAAGTGAGCATTAGTTAAACTTGATTTTCAAAATAATTATAGATGCTAATTAACAAAGACATGACTTGCTTGTGTATCTATTAAAAAGGGAGGTTAGAATTTGTATACATGTACATACAACCAAAAATCGCAAAAGAATTCAAACATCCCAATTAATATCGCATTCTGCACACAGTCAGCTATCTACTAATTGTGAGTTTACTATGTTAAAACCGATGCGAGAATACCGCACCCATTAGCTGAAAACAGTATTTTTACATTACCTGCAATAGGCAGGTTTATCTTTTGCATAATGCATGTTTAATGTATATAAAAATGAACAATCTAACCTGGTCTAACCAAACATTTGTTGTCATCACTTGATTCTTCTCTTCCTGAAAAACAAAACATATCGCGATTGTAATTACTGTTCATCACCCCTTGAACTCTAAGGATAATAATTTATATCGATGCTAAATAATGGGAAATCGTGTCATTATGGTAGCCGTGTTGTGCAAATCGGTTTTTGTTTTTGCGTCATGGGCTTAGAATTTGATTGAAGAATCGATGGTTAAACATGGTTTGTTAACTTGTATATTTGGAATGATTGCGATGATATATATTCGCCTAGTTTTATCAAACTCGGTGGTTGATTTCAACGAGAATAGATATCGCACACTCTCAAGGTCTATCTGAGGATTTATTTAAACATACATTATGCAAAAGATAAATCTGCCTATTGCAGGTCTTTCTTTGGGCCTGAAATGTTATCTAAATTATTAATTAGACATTAATAAACTTATCCAGACCATAATCAACTCTCGATGGCATCGTTAGCCCGTGATATTTACTGGATTATGATCCCATTTGCTGCTAGACCACCATTCATAATTTAATCATGAAATGGATGATCGAGACTATGTTTTTATCGTACAGGCTTTAGCAATGGTGAAATTTAAATCGCTTAATTCTCGGTTCATAGTGGATAAAATTGCCTCAGCAAATTGCCTTTACCTTGTCTAGTTTTTAACTATTATAGTGAGAACTGCCAGCGCCCATAATGTATCTTTAATGATTTTTATCTAGAGATCATCCGTTTTATGGTACCCCTCATAGCGCATGCGTGGTTTAAGTTCACATTGCACTATTATCATTTGATCTTTTCAATTACCGTTTAAATCATAAATCAACTTCCATTCATATATTTGAGCTATCCCTATACTTAACCCCGGTCTGCATCCACTATAATATCGATTTTAACATGTTAACTGAAAAACGCACTTCATAACATAGAACGCTAGACTCAGTTTGTGTAATGAATATTGCAGACATTAAAAAATGAATCTTGATGAAAATCTGAGATTGGTTTCGATATTTATATTGTATCAAATAATATTACACCATTCATGCTTTCACAGACTTGTAGCACAATTTTTAAAATAAATATAATTAATATATATAAATTGTTTAAAGATACATTATGCGAGAGAGAGAAAGAGAGAGAGAGAGAGAGGGAGAGATAGAGAGGGGGAGGGTTGGTTTAACGTACACTCGACACAAACTAGGTCATTTCGGGATTAACATATGGTTAAATTATATCAATAATTCGCTTACGCGTAGGGGTCTATATCAGTGGGAGGAAACCGGAGGACCCAGTGAAAACCCACGAGGTTGGACAGGCGACCCTACTCCTCGTCACGTACAAACGGGGAATCGAAACCACGCCAGTTGACTCGATGACAGACTTTATGATACAGCGAGCACGTGCTAACCATTCGGCCATCCATTCCCACCCCACCCCCACCCCTCTGCCCCTCCCCCACCCCGTCATTTGAGATTTGCCTGTGATTTTGTTGGGCAAGGGAATGCACTTTCTTTTATCTTTGTTATCTTTCCGCCTCAAAATCAGGAATATTTACCAAAATATTATGTCAGAAAATAGGAATCCACATCCTCTTCTTTGATTCTCGCCAACCAGAATGTCAACCAAAATTAAAGGAGCTAATTCGCTAACATTTGGGACCTAGAAATTGACAAAAGTGGGTCGCAACGCATATAATACTGTAATATGAATGTATATAAACTGATTTACATTTAATGGTTTCCGTTTTTACTCCAATTTCAAATCAGTTATGTTCGGCGAAATAAGTCAGCAATCTCAATCGAGTGCAAATTTCTAGTGTCTAGTTATTCTAGTCTACATAACTCCATTTGATTTGGTGCAATGTGTCTAGCCTCGTCCCTCGAGTCTCTCAATACAACTGGGGCTGAAGCGCATTATGGTACACGATTCGTGTACCAATGTTAAAAAAATTATTTTATCTTAAATATCGGATATCAGAAGCTCATCTTTTCCCGGTAAGTTTACATCATCAATGTTGATTTAAATTGACCAATAATTCGTGTTTTCGATGTCGAAGATTTTGAAGGATTTTGAGTTACGGACTTAGGTCATTTAAATATACACAAAAACTAAAGGGAACTACTTTAAAGGAACTACTTTCGTTGCTAAATGATCTGTTGACGGTTTTCCATTATACGACAGTAATTATGGCAGTTATGTTTCTTGAAAGCTGGAACCATTTTTAACCATGCACTATGTCTTAGCTCTGAAGGATATTCATTTCAATATGTGTAAACAACAGAAAGAATATTAACTTCTATATTTGATTGATTAATATTTGTTTCAGTTATAATTGAAAGAGATGATGGCCTGGTGCGTGTTTATTTTGCGCTTAACAAAATAAATCTGTTGTAGCAAACTTGTACTATCACATAAATTTCATCTTTCTTTTTAAAGGCGACCATATTAGACATATCATCAAACATAGGCGTATAACTAATATCAATAATGCATATCGGAATTTATAAATCCCGAGTTGGGTTTAAGATGTGGGAATTTTGTCTCAAGACCAAATGTTTGTTTCATACGATATTTCCGTCAAAAACTAGAACGTTCCTTTAATCCGATCGGTTTACCTCTCCTCACAAAGCAATGATTGTGTAGTCAATGTAAACATCTACACGGACAAGGAGTTTTACATAACGATTCGCAAAGAACCGTCAAGAAAGAAAAAGCAGTTCAGAGACAAATGTTAATCTCGTAACCTACATAAACGTCACTTCTATAAAGCACTTCGATTTAGAAAAAAATATCGTTATAAAAGGGTTTACCGTCCGTGCTCCCCATTTTTTTGTTATCTCAATATTGAAATAGTTTACTCTATTTTAATTGATGGATTTGCTGGGTTTTGTCAAGAATAACTATCTAATGATAATATTTATATACGGCATTGGGATCAATGTTCGCTAGAATCTATCATCGAATTGTGATCACAATCTTGGTTTGTTTCTATGACGTTAGTAAGAACCTGTAAGAACACATGGTAGAAAACGGTTGTTAATACAGATTTTCAGTTTGTTAACTAAATGGTTTCCATACTGGAACAAGTCTAATGAGATTGTCTATAAAAATATGATATTATCCTAGTATACAAGGCAGTAATATATTTTTATATATGTAATTAGCATACATACACTTAACATTTTGTTCATACTTTTTAACTATTTTTTTTTTAATTTTAGATTATACTTAGGGTAAATTACAAATTATACAATAGGGCGAAAGGGAATAGAAAGCAATTTATAAACAAGCTAGGAATCAAACCAATGATTTCCTTTTTTCTGTCGTTCATAGGCGTTCAATTGTCTGGTAATTACTGTATTGTCTACGGGAATTATACCCTAATCAATTACCTTTCTCTATGTAATCTACTTAGTATTTAAATGAACAGTATTGGAGTGTTTTGTTTTAGTCTATTAAAAAAGTAACATACTAGGATGAAAGTTGGGCAAGTGGGCAGTGGTATCAGTGCGTTCAGAAGCGGCCAATTGCTTTTTAGTTTTATAGAGTAAAATATTATCAATGACCAAAACTGACATGTATGTTCTACGTTGAAAGCCCCGACATTTCAGACTAAAGATGGACTCTCGGGCTGTACACAATTACAGACATATCGGTCCAACTATTAATAACGTAGATCCATCCTAAAGTAATCCCATTATTTTCTATGGATCTTACATTAACCATTTGACGACTGAAGGAAACCTCATTTCTATCCATGAACATCGAGGCCAACTATTGTGTATCTAACCAAAGATATGTGTTTTAGTCGTCTAAATAACTATCTGAA